GACGCCGAGTTTCGATGCTTTCTTACGCATGATACCTAAGGATAGGACTCGCAGTCCTTGACCTAGACTACCTAGAGGAAGCCGCACCTCGGCCGCCATTCGCTATGCATCTATAACATCTTCGATGTTCGCAATGTGTAACGTCTATCAAACGCCACCATTCGTTCGGTAAATCCAAGCTAAATTAATCACGCAATTCTTATCAAATACGTATTTTTAGGTAGTCGTTATTTTGCGGATAGCTTACTGAATGGCTCGACGAGACCACGTGCTGATAGCGTGCGCGAGATTGACTTCATTTTCAATATTATGAAATTCAGTATCGCGGTAATCCAACAAACATTCTCCAATTTGTTGTAAGTATTATTTTCATGTATTATATTTTGCCTTTATTTTATTACTACATTTTTCTATACGACTCTTGCACATCTTCTACACGATCATTTTTTAACCACAAATTTTCAAAATCTGATAAAAATCTTTCAAATTTTTTGTGAGAACTATTCCTCATCGTATTCCCGATTTTATTTATATCGATTACTATTATAGTTAACTATTATTATTATCGTAAAATGAGATCATTTTGGCCCAAACTTTAAATGTCTAGATAGCAAGCATATTTAATATGACAAAATGACATCTTAAAGCGTTCTTAAGATGTCTTATGTTTCAAACTTTGACAAACATGCTGTCTAGACATTATCATTTGGGCCAAAGTTATCCCATTTTACGATAATTATTTTTAAAATTAAATGTAAAATTTTTACAATTATTAATATAAAAGTGATGCTCGAAAGATATCGGAGATATAGAGACAAGGAAAACATCGTTCACCTTTGTTTTTGAAGCGCTAGTCATTTTCTTCTGTTCGAACTTCATAGTTTCCTGACCAGCAGGTAGGTTTGGCATGTTCGGTATATTCATCGGTGGGCTCATGCTGTGATGAAGATTATTCAGAGAGTTCAGGGAACTCAATTGGGACGGAGAACCGCCTGCCAACGTGACAGCATCGTTGACAGGTGGCGGCGTGTCGGTATCCGGAAAAGTCACCAGTGGTTCTGTGAGATCGGTCTCTTCCGGTCCACTGCCATCTCTGCAGAATTCCACAAAAAGGATTCATGAGCTATAACGCTTTTAATCAATGATATATTCTTATTTCTTATTTCAAGAAAATTCGCGATTAGAATTCGGTTAGAATTGAACGTGAATGAATGAGTGACGAGATTTTATTATAGATAGAATCTTTTTCGATTAAGAAAAAATATAAATAATAATTGTGTATGTACAAAATAATTATATAATAAATATATGAAATAAAAGCTAAATTAAATTAAATTAAATAGATTGAAGACTAAATGTATATGTGCTAATATATGTGTAAAAGAGATTTGCAAAAAAGTGAAGTATATTACACAAATTTTAAATACTTAAAAAATTGTACTATTTAAACATATTCCTGGTGTTTTTAAATAAAGACATATGCATATGATTTGCAAAAGCTGATAATCTAAAAAGGACGCTTTAAACAAAGAAATTTTGTTTTATATTATATTTTTTTTCTACGTACGATATAATACTCTATTTGTATCTATTTGTATCAATAATGGATTACCTTATAAAGATAATGGATTACCTTATAAAGATTTGTTAATGAAATGCTTATCTTTCCGCTGTGATATAACAGCAATGGAATATTATCTTGTATTTCAAAATACGTAAAATGACACGTGAGCAATATGTTAAAAATAATCCGACTACCACGAAAATAGCATACGAATCGAAATTATTCGTACACAAATATTCGCCGTTGACGTGCTTCAGAGCTTTCAGTTGTGAAAGCTTTAGTTGCGAAGCTTAAACGTGTGAATTTTTAGAAACTGAACAAAATGAATCACTGAGCTTTTAGTAACTAGTAGTTGAAGAAGTAACTTTCGAAAAATCTTTAAATTTTCACGAAAAGATGAAGTCAGTGATTTTTTTATCAAATATTAACAACTAAAATCATTAATCTTTTGATTTTTTTAATTAATTGAGAATTACTTAATTGAGATGAATTCTTCTCTCTTAGTCACCAATTAACTTTCTTCTTGTGCTTCATATTCATAATAAAAATGTTCACTTTTATAATAAAAATAAGATATCGATTTGATACTTTATATTTTAACGAAATATCACAAAACTTAAAAAATTTTGAAATAACCTGTTATTACATATGAAATCCAAAAGTAAAGAATGTTTTTATAAATTGTCATATACATATAGATAGAACAGAATTTTGAAATATATAACTGCATCAAAACAAGGAACACATCACAATGATGACATTAGATTCGTTACGCTGGCAAACTTGATACTTTAAAAATACTAATCTTTTCTATAAGAAAATATGCGAAATAACGCGTAGTTTTCACTAAACACTCATATTGCATTATCCGTTAAAACTTCTTCGAAAACGTCAGATCTTTTCACAATGAGAACACTGTTTCATCACACTAAACTCATGTAAAGAATCACAATTACAGTTCAAAAATGAAGTCTATCTTTTAAGAATTGAATCTATTCGCAGAGATTGTCAATTTACTCGAGAATGAACCAACCTGTCTACGAGGTTCTCCATGCTGCTGCGCAGCCGTTGTGAAAAATTGGTCGAGATGTTCTTCATCTCCGAGATGCCGCGCTTGAGCTCCGTCAGATCGCTCTTCATGGAGCTCGCCTTCATCTCACTCGACGAAGACGAGGTGAGAATCCTCTGCGAGGACTTGGCCACCCTACTGCTGCTGCTGCTGCTACTGCTAGTACTGGTGCTAGTGCTGCTACTACTCTGATGTTGGCTCTGATTTGTCGTCAGCATCTGCCGAGTCAAAAGCCGTTTTCGTTCTATTTAAGATCCGTATAAGATGACTCACTCGCTTCGAATCTCCCGCTCTAATATTCTATCTCTCTATCTCTGTTTCTCTTTTCCGTTTTTCTATTAAATATACCGAGTTTGTAATCAGTTTATTTATTAAATTTCTTAATTTTATTCTTTAATTTTTTAAGAGATAATCTTGTTCAAATTAATCTTTCTCTTTCTCTCTCTCTCTCTCTCTCTTCCTCTCTCTCACATGACATTGTGTATTATATCTATGTCATGTAAATACTCTTTCTATTTTAATATCAAATAAAATAAAAAAATTATTTAATTATTTTACTACTGTAAAAGTCATAAAGCTAGAAAAAAATAAATTTTTTCATCGACTTAATATTTGAATATAATATAATGAATATAAAACTTTTCATACAATAAATGTGTAATGCATACACTGAGAAAAATGGTCTGGTTGGATTAAATAGTAATTCTGGTACAAAACGGACGAATCACAATTTTCTGGTTAAATCAACTAGAATTCTAGTTGAGTTAACTAGAATTTTGATTGAGAGAGAGATATAATTATTCTGGCAAAAATAAGAATTTTAGTAGATTTACCAGAAATATTGTATCAACCAGAATTCCGATTATCTCAAATAGAATTCTAATAAATTTAACCAGAAAATTCTGATTCGTCCATTTTGAACCAGAAAATTTTTTTCAGCGTATTCAAATTATTCATTTTATTCTATAGTTATTTCTCTTTCTCTAAATTGATTGTTTTAAATAATGAATATTTTCGTCGTTAACTCTATTCGACAACCGTGACAAGATTTTTTTGAACAACTTTTTTAAGAACCAAGATCAGATATTTCACCTTACACAAATAGAAAGTACAGTTCAAACAAACGAAAGAGCGAACTAGAAAGGTTTAAAGGGAAAAATGTAAACAGCGTCTGCTGTAGCAACCACAGCAATGACTGCTGGCGATAGGCCAGAAGTCATTACGATGTACGAGATGACTCGACCAAACCCGGAGACGAAAAGGGCCTGATAAATTTAGAAGAAGGCAACGTTCTCTCGAAATGACGAGAGAAGGGACCTTGAAGCGCGGTACCAAGGTTCACTAAGATTCTGCCGGATTAATCTTCAATGGAAAAATATGTACGTGGGCGGTCACATTGCGTAGTAAACGCCTATAGTCGTTCTCGAGCTATCGCTTCTGATTGCTCGATGATCGGAGATGGTCTGACAAGTGGTTTTGCTGGAGAGACGCGCAGTCACTTTAACCGCGACATACATATGTCACACACGTCATTCGTATAAAAATTCATATGCACACACTGCATTTAATGTCAAATGCATAATTTCCTTTCTAACTGAAATTTGATTTGCGTTTAATTCTGATGTGACATAAAAAAAATCCAATAAACGAAAATGTAATTTATTTTATTGTTACTTTTAATCAATGCTTAATTATCATTAATCTTCGCGTTTCCCAGAAATTTCGACAGATTTGCCTATCAAACATTTTCTTTCCATCTCTATATCGTTAATATTGCGCAATATCATAATCAACTTTTGCTATCTTACAATTAGCAGTTTAATAAGAGGTTCAAAAGTGTAATTTATATTAATTATAGCTTTCCACCTAATTTTTTAAATTAATAATCAAATAATTAACAATCAAACTTTCCGAGATATTAATCTAACTGGTAATATATCTATCTGGTAATATAGAGAAATAAATTAGACAAGAATGTGAATGGAAAGCGCGTCGTCAGTCAGGCGAATCGATTGACTTGCGCGAGTAGTGACAGTGATTATTATTTTAGGCGCTTTTAGCAGATCGCGTCGATAATAAAAGCATGACGGATGAATAATTCCTAATTTCTGTAGTTACTTTCAAGAAATTCGTCTCAGATGTGGGCGTCGGAGACGCCAGACACTTCATTTAGCTGACGCAGAGAAGACAGGATAGGAAGATAGATAGGCTGCGTAATCTTCACAGGTACTTCTCGAATTAGAAGAAACAATCTACGAAGAAAATGACGATCGTGTTTCCCTCGCAATAAGAATAGATTGAGTATTTCTACGAAGTTGTCACTATCGGAAAGGGTGAGGTATAGCTATCTCTTTCTATCTCTCTTTCTTTAACTTCTAAAGTACCAAGTTGAAAAGAGATGCTGACAGAATTGAAGAAAAATGATGCTGATATAGTTCTTTCTAATGGAGCACAGATGCGATGATCACAGAATGCCCATCTATACCTATTACGTCTATGATTTTCCCCGAAACAGCAAGGCCAAATAATTAACATTGCACAGAACATAATTGCGACTTGCTTCTGCTGAATGTTCACAAAGATGCAAAGTATGCGAAAATGCGTGAAGTGTAGGTCTCCGGATTTCAATTCTATTCGAAAATTACAATCGTGCGTAAAACATTCGATTTATTCGGAGTTTATTGCGAACAGATTAATTCAGTATAATGGATTTAATGCAATTAATAATTCGAGAATATAAAAACGTGAGAAGATGCAAAGACAGTTTTTGATTTAGATTTTACAATCACTTCTCGATATAACTCCTTTTTTCTTGCATTCTAAAAAATCTCGGTGTGGATTTAACATTATACGGTGTTTGTATAACTCTCACCATGTTAATGTTAATATTAATACTAACATGGTGTGGATTTAAAACTCACAATGTTATATATATTAATACCAACACAGTGAAAATTATATAGACGCCGTATGGTGTTAAATTATTAATTTATTAATGTATTATATAATTAATAATAATTTAACCTATTAATTAATAATTTAACATTAATGATACATATATAATAATATAATGTATCATTATTGTTATACACTATGTTATTAATATTAATTAATTATAAATTAATAACAAATTTTTTTAAATGCTAATATTTTTCGTTAAAAAGTAAACCTGTAAGTAAATCTCCTCTGGAAGATTTGCACAAATAGATTTTCAAATTCATTTCGGAAAAATACTCGTATCTCTCGCATGTTTTTGTAATTAACAATAAATACTCGGAACATGCTGCGAGAAGACGTGTATTGACTCCTGTGAATACTAGTGACGGAAATACAAGTGACGTGTCTTTTCTATTTTTCAAAGAATCGCAACATTCGGGAAGCGCGCGCAAATATTTGATAGTCAAAGAAAAAAAGACAACAAAAGTCCGCGTCGGAGAAAATCACCTGCGACGACGTGGTGGTGACCTGCGGATGATGAGTGACGTGATGCGTCCTGCCAGTCACTAGGTTCTTCTTCTGGAAATTCTCCATGGCAGTATGCATGTTTTCGCCTCCCTCCACCGGGAATTCCGACATCTGCAATGGATAGTATTAACGTCAAAATGGATAGTAATCGAGATATTTAAATATTTATTACAATAAAATTATAAACATTTATTTTATTTGTGACGGAGACGGTTAATGATGGGGCGTACGGATGTTTTAATTGCGCGTTAATCAAGTCGACGCAGGAATTCGACGACTGCAAGGGCCTAATAATAGGCTCTGGGAAATAATTGGCAGCTCAAGCTTGGCTGAAAGACTAGTGTGTTCTTACAGTGGGTTTTTAGTTTTCGCGTTGCTATCGGACTGCACGAAAGTATGCACGAAAGTACGCACCGAGTGCGTAAACGAGCGATATATGTGAAGCCCACGCGTACGTTCGTTAATAAAAAGCTCGATCAAGAAACGCACGATCGAACCCGGATCTCTCGATAAAACGCTCCGATTCCTAAAGGTGATCAAACTTTCCAGTTTCGCGTAGAGCGCCGATTCGCCGTTTACGTACGATAGAATACTAATTGTAAGCTCGCTGACGGAAATACCATCGGGAATGCTCGAAGCCGCTCGAGGTCGATATATACGTTCGATAAAACTCGACAGTTGCATTTCGCCATTGTTCAGCCTGCATGTGATTACATAACGGAACGGTTCTAAAAAAGCTAGCAAGAGGATTTCATAGAAAATAATTAATACATGGAAATATACGAAAAATGTAAATGTGACTTTTAAAAGTGATCCTAAATAAATATCCTTTTGTTCTTTTCTTCGTCGTTAATATTGAGTGACTATACTTTTACGCAACTTTCGTATGTCGGATAAATTGAAGGCTAATCAATGGAAAAGCAAGATAACGCCATATAGAAACCTTTTAACTTCAAAATTAACTGCACTCAAATTTAATAACTTCTACGAAAGAGTTGTTATACCGTTTATATGGTGTTGCACAATGCACAGATAATTTTACGACATGTAAAATTATTTTAAACAATGTAGTTAGCAAGATCGCAGTCGCGTAACTTTCATATTTCTAGGAAGGAGCAATACATAATTCGAAGGAAATGAACTTCATCTAAATGTTACATGGTTCTCACAGCGTATAATATATCTTATATAATCAATTAAATTTCATTTATTTTAATAATTATCAGAACGATTGGGCTGTTTTAATGATTTTCTGGTTCATTAGTTTCTTCGTGTAACATTAAATACATTTAATGTGTATCGCATAAAGATCGCTCCTTCGATTCTTACAATTGCCAGTGCATATGTGAGATGTGTGCCAAAATACAATACATCAGCATAGTGTGCACCAATTGTTGCACTCCAGGAGCTCGCTTCGCGTCATGAATGCATCTATACAATCGACACAAGTGCAACTATCGCGAGACGTGCGTGGATGGGCGATACGTTGCATTCCGTCCATTCTTTCGATCATTCCGCGGGATTTGCATAGGCGTGGGCACGTAAAACTCGGGCGCGTGCAATACGCGTGCAATACACGAGATGCAATATCCGGCATCTTTCAGAAAACTGACCGACGCAGAGCCGGTTTAGTACCTTTTCGCATAATAATATAATTTCAATGAAATATAATAATTTTAATAAAATAATTTCCTTTACGCGCAATAAAATTTTAGTTTTCTCTTCTAAAAAAGAAAAAAAATAACATAATATTTGTATGCGTTCTATGATATTAAGTTAAGTTAACTTGTCGTGTATATTTTATATTTATAAATAATAAAAAAATTATTAAACTATACATAGGAGGTTTAGAATTAAGCACAAATGCTCAGAAAACCAGAATGCTCCAAAAGCAGGTGGCATGTTTAAATCAAAGACCATAATTCTTTCCAATCAAACAGGTAAAAACCGGTCCTAACTAGAGACTCTTAAATATTGTCCAAGTGTGAAGATCGAATCTCAAAGGAGATCTGTTATTTTCCACTTTGAAGTGTGCGTATTTAACAAGTTAAGATTAACGCGAAAAGATTTCAAGTTGATGAAAATATTAGAAATAACTAAAAAATTCCGTTGTCAAATTTAACAAACATTTAGATCAGGTTACTTTCTGAACGCGATCGTATGGAAACCTGAAACTGAGCGTACGCTCTAGGGAGTATATCTATCAGCCGCGTATCTCTCGCGCGAGCAGCTGATTGACGTGCTGTTCCTAGACAAAGACAGCCGGCGCGGTATACTCGAATGAAGAGGAAGCGAGGATAGATTCTGCTGTTATCGCCTCTGCTGTCTCCGATAATGCAACACGCGGACTAGCCATTTCAGGATCTACAGCGTTAGAAGTGTGGGAAAGGAGCTCCTGTCTGAGGATCGATAGGGACTTCCCCGAAACATTCGCGCTGCAATTCGAACTTTGGAGCGTCGGAGAATCACGTTTTTCCAGCCGTTCTCCGATCATTCTGCAAACACGGTACTCGGAAAAAGACAAGGAAAGAAAGAGAGAGAGAAAGAGAGAGAGAAAGAGATAGATAGAAAGAGAGAAAACAGAATGCGCACCGAACTGACACCTGGCTGGCGTCCGATCGCCACGTAGCTCACGCGTCTTCCTGGCGAGAGCTCGACGGCGAGGATCGAGAAGAGGCGGTCCCGAGGACGAGCGGACTGCGCGTCGAGCAAATCACAGAAGAACCGAGGTCGCGCGGACGGATAGTACGTCGCGTTTCGGCGTGCCGGCAACGGCGATTGGCACAAAGAGCGACGGCACAAACCCTACGAACAACGAGCATCGCACACGCCGGTCGCGCTCGCACTGAGGAGCTGGAGGAGTGACGGACGGTACCGCGCGTACGATAGCGACACGCTGGTCACATGGCACCGCTGGTCACGTGACACCCGTGACGCCGCCGCCGCGAACTTACGAACCGCGGGCGCACGTGACCGCCGGCGAGTTAAAGGGACGGCGATTTAAATGGAAGTATGGCTAGTTCTACGGTGATGTTATTCGTAAGTTCTAACTTTGCCTGTCGTCTGTATCGGAACTCCCGAAATTAATTAATTAGGTCGAAAAAGAATTTAATATAGATCTCGATCAAATAAAGAGATAAAATTTAATAGATATTGATTAGATGGAGGAGCAACGAAAATGATTAAATTGAAATGATGAAACAGATTAAACTGTAGTAAAATCACGCTGCAAGTAAATATTAATTTAGAAAAAAATGAATGTAAAGAATATACAATAAATATAAATAAATAAAATATATATTAAATTAAATTTCTTTCATTAAACGTAAAAGTAATAAGATTGATTAGAAATTAGAGTGAATAGAGATTGAAAGAAGAAAAATGAGTGAGATCAATAAAGTTTTATGCGCGCGAAATTAAAACGAAAATTGATGATATCAAGAGGATCAAGGAAACATTCTAATTAACGCTGTGATTCCGGGAAGCTTATGTTCTATAAAAATAATAGATTTTTCGATCTTGATTAAGAGCATAACCCCCAGTGAGGCAAGTGGGACGATGATAAATGAACTCGATTCTTAGAACGACGACAGTAAAGAGACGACGTTTTTGTCAGCGCTGTTGTTGCAATGTTATGTAAGAAGTCTCTCTTTCTTTCTCTCTCTCCCTCTCTCTCTCTCTCTCCTCTCAGTCTTATCCAGTCGAAAGTACATCTGTAGAAGTGCTTTGCAGTAAACCACTTGATGGAAAGTTTACGAGAGCGCAATCTGGAAGAATCGTCAAGGAAACCTGCCACTTCATTCATTTTTCCGCTCCGCCTTTCATTGATCAGAAATGCAAATCGTGAGTTAATTAAGATTATCGTGTATTTCTCGTATTTCAGCGTATTTCTCAAATAAAAAACAGATAAGATTCAGTTTAGAGATTTTTTAAAAAGACTGTACGTGACACGCACGTGACAGCCCTTGAATGATTTATAATCAAAAGGAATGTCGGGTCTACCTTATCTGTCCAATTCGGGGCAGGGCACGAAGCACCATCCGAAGAATTTAGGTCAGGTTCTCCGAGATATACACAGTTATCGACAGTAGTCGAATATAAACAGTTCTTCTCGAGACTTTCGTGCTATTCAACATTTTCGTATTTTTATTTTCTAATTTTCTAAATTTCAAATTTAAACTTCAAAACTTCAGTAAATTTGATCAACATTTTAGAATTTCGCAGGGTTCAAAAACGTGGAAAAGATTTCTCCTTATTTCTATCTCTTCGGAATAGGAATAATCATTCGAAGCCTTTTTGTCAAGATATCTTTGCGGAAACTGCTTAGTTTAACCATTGTAAATCAGTATCGACCGCGAAGCGTCGACCGCGAAGAAACTTAGCACTGTCTGTGAGAAAAGAGGGACACAAAGAGCGGAATGCAGTCCGGCGAGGTGCGTGAGGAAACTCGCAGTCGCGGAATTTCGGCGAAAGTATACCGGGTGGTGTCCTCGGTAGGCACTGAAGACCCTAACCCGTCCCGGCGTTCGCGTAGTCTTAAACAAAATTAACATTCACTTAGTTCAACAAATATTATTTTATTTAAATTTAATTAAAATAATTTTTCAACATTTTTTCGCGGATATTTGCATCTGTATAATTTTAATGATCTTAATTTCTTATCGATACTTAGAAATATAATTTTTGGAGATATTGTTGATAATATTTTTAATTAATATAATTTTATAAAAATAGAGGAGAAAGTAGTTTTATGGCACTCCAGTTATATTTTACACAATAACTTTGTGTAAAATATAACTGGATATAATCAATATTTAAGTTTAAAGCTTGACAATTACATTCATTAAAATGTTATTGAATCGATTCTGGACTTAAAGTTACGAAATATTTTATTACTTAGGATACTATTAATAAAAATGTGGCGACATTGCATAATGACTTTAAGAAAAAAATGGATGGTAATATGGCCTTCCATAAAAATAGCCTTAAAATATTAATTTTGTTTAGAAAACAGTATTTGATTACAAAATTAACAAAAAAAAACATTTTAAAATGTGTGCAAATGAATGTATATACATTCACATAACTTCTGCATATAAGCTGCTCAGTAC